GTGGAACGGGTGTCCCAGGGAGGGGGGTGAGTCACCGTCCCGTGAGGGATTTCAGGGCGGTGTGGATGTGGTGCTTAGGGACATGGTTTTTGGTGGCCTTGGCAGTGCTGGGTTTCCAAACTAAACGATTCTGTGATCTTTGGAGGTCCTTTCCAACCCAACCCATTCTATGATTCTGTGTCAGAGCAGAGGGTCCCATGCTGGGGTCCTGCATTTCCATCCCCAGCATGCACATGCCTTCAAGTGAAACCCTCTCCTCTTTTCACAGCAAAAAGAGCAGGGGTTTTGTGTAACAAATTGTCAGCTGTGACAAATACCTCCGGCAGAATCCTCACCCCCGTAGTGAGACCACATTAGCTCCAGAGAAGAGCTGACCATGGAGATGCCGAGACTGGCGAGCAAGAAAGGCATCGCCAGCCGTTTACGTGGCGCTTTGCGTGCCCCGTGGCCGGCAGCGCTGTGCAGGCTGTCGTGTTGTGGGGTGCAGCCGCCTGATGCTGAAGGAGTTTGGCAACACCTCCTCAAACCGAACTCGCCTGGCAGCGTGAGCGGTAATTGGAAAGATTTGTCTTCCTTAAACATCCCGGCTTCAGCAAGATTTGGGAGCACGGCTGGGAGCTGGAGCCTGTAGCGAGGATCTCAAGGACTTGGTTTTAAGATAGAAATAGTGTAAATGCTGGAGACTTAAGACACCTGCTGTAAATCTTCCCCATTCCGTTGCCAGCGTTAACTATTTCATTATTTCTATTAGAAAACTAGATTTCGTATCAGGAACACAGGCAGCTGAGAGAGAGGGGAAAAAGCTCATCCCTCCCCGAAACCCTCCTTCCAGGCAGGGAAGATGTAGAAAATGATGAGAAAAACAGATTTTGGAGGACACTTAGCTGGAGCGTGTCCCCTTTTCTGCAGGTTTTGGTGCTGGGAGAGGGAAGGGCACATTTCTGCTTGGGGCCAGGGGTTCTGGAACTGGTTTAAAATTATACCGTGGGCTGCAGAGCCTTTTCCCCAGAGACCCAGAGGGCTCTTCAAGCTGCCTGCCTGGAGGAGCATTCAGCTCACCACATGATGCTGCCCACCCCAATCCCTCTCTTCCGTAAAGTCATTTTTAAACCTAATTACAACCATTACAGCAAACACATGCTACGGCCTCCTCTAATTACCCCATGGGGATCGGCCAGGCATCACCCACTGTCTCAAGCCCTGAACACACATCTTTTATTCAGACCCCTGATTTAGTCTTTTTTTGTTCTACTAAATCTCTACATCTGGGGCAGGCACCTGCTGCTCCTTCAGTAAGTCAGAGCAAAAGATGGAAAAGCCCACAAACATCATGCGGAGCTGAGTCCAGCCAGTTACTGGGGTCCTAAACCATGTGTTTTACACCATGAAACATAAATTAAACAATCCCCTAGTTGGAGAGGAATAGAATTAAAGATAAAAATAAGATAATTTCACATTTCCCAACTCAGAGCAGCCTCAGTGTTAGTTCTAAGCAATTTTTCCATTGGTAAAAAATCAGGTGTGGAATTGGGCTGACTTGCCTTGGCACAACAGTGAGAGCTGGGTGTTGTCTTTGAGATGGGCTTTGGGGTAAAGGGGATTTATTCATGGCTGGGTTAGGGGCTCCTGGCTTTATTTCTGTTTCTATTACTACCGTCTATGGCCATGCTCAAATCTGTCCCTTCATCCCCCCATCCCAGTCTGGAAATGAGTGTTTACTGGGCTTTACTCACTGATCTCCCGCCTTTGCAGGTGTGCAGCCCCTTAGCGCAAGCAGGGACTTGGCTCTTGGTGCTGGAACAATAAATCCTGGATCTTTATACTGAGAATTTTCCAAAAGCCCCTTGTCAAAAGCAAACTCTGGCTCCATGATGGTGCGTTATCTCATTAAATCTCCCTTTAAATTTAGCTGTCAGTCTGAAAAAAGAACAAAATCAGCTTTTCAGCTCCTTGTGGCTGAGCTGTCGGATTCCTGCAGAGGGACATTTTTCAGATACATTTACCAGTTTGCAGATGTTAGTGCAGTAACGACGTCGTGCTGGTTTGCACTAGAGCATCGCAAGAGGGACTTTGCCCGCGTATCGGTTGTGCGTGCTGAGTCAGCAAAAGCAGTCCTGCAAAGGCAATGCCAGCAGGAGGTTTCCCCATAAAATGTGGTTGTTGGGTTATAC